TTTTTATGTTCACGTGGGCAAATATATATGTTTAAAATACGGTATTAAATAGTCTAGGGAGGTAATAGGTTCTCATGAAAGTTTCGTATCGCAACAGCAAATCCGACCAAAGTTGGAGTATTTTTCATACCCTCATCCCATGAAAAAATGGCTAATATTAAAAGAACAAATAGCTATAAAATTGAGGGATCAAAGTAGAAAAGTTGTCGCCGGACTTGCAACACGGAGCACCAAATAGGGCAAAATCCGACGCAGTGATTAGTCTCCGTAGTGTTCTCCAATGGACGAAATAGCCCAGTACTATCAATACCCCTATTATCAAACTCCACCACCACCACCAGTCCCTCCGCCGCCGCCGCCGCCTGGCACCACACTTCACGCGCTGCCGCCGGTGGTGGTCCAACCACTTCCTATTCCGCAATACCATCACCCCCATCATCCATCCGCCCCCCTTCTCTATCCTCAGGATTCGCACGGCGATGTTCGAACTCTCTTCATTGCTGGTCTCCCTGAAGATGTCAAGCCTCGAGAAATTTACAACCTCTTTCGAGAATTCGCAGGCTATGAATCTTCTCATCTCCGTAGCCAAACTTCTAGTAATTCTCAGGTATTTACATTTATTGGCGCAAACTAATGCGAATGCTTTTTAAGTGTCATACACATTTAACTGGCCTCAATTAGAGCGAATTGGATATAGAAGATTTTTACTTTATAAACAATCCCAGATAGTTAGGTATTTAGTGTGAATAGAGCGGAAGGGATGCATAAGATTTATCCTATATAACCCATCACTTTTGCAGTGTATGATTATATAGTATTGGTTAACTCCAAGCACAATTCAGTTGTCTATGAGAAAAAGAGAGAAAAAAATATCCATGGAAGAGCTTCAGGGTTGTATTTCCTGGTGGAAATTCTGCTTTTGGAGTTCGATTCACATAGTTTTAGGAAACATAGATGAGCCTTCAGTGCAGTGTTTTGGACGTTGAAAGGCGACAAGAGTCTCCTCGCCACAAGGGTCTGCCTCACCTTGGCGAGGCAAGCGGGTGAGACGCTCGCCTTTTTAAAGTGCGGCGCCAATTAATACCATAAGATTAAAATATTTAATTGCATATATCAATAATCAAAATCTCAATAGTAATAACATATTAGCAAATATTTCAATTCAAAAACTGAAAATAGATAGTACATACAAAAGTCTAGAAAGTGAATTAGAAAAAAACAGAACGCAAGTCAAAACAGTGAGAAAGAAAACAGAGGTAGAAGTAAGTCTGAAGAAGAAGAAGGAGGAAAATGAAATCTAAAGAAGAAATCATAAGAAGGAAAGAAGAAGAAAAGAAGAAATACGTATTGGTTAGACTTTGGAGTCGCCGGAAAAGTTTGGTTGGTCTCCGCATAAGTCTAGTCGAGTCAACTGGTTGGAGTCGCAGACTAAGAGTGCAACCATGCAAATTTGGAAAGAAAATCCTAAAATTACCTTTAACTTTTAAAACCCTAAATTGGTCACCTTTTTTTAACCAAAAGCTAATAGGCGATGAAGGGTCGCCTCACCTCGCCTCTCGCCATTGGCGACGAGGCGATCACCTTTCACAACAGTGCTTCAGTGATTGCAAAATCTAGGTGTATTCACATAGCCCATAGAAACCTAGAATTCTCGAAAGTACAGCTGAAGTTCCAAATTTAGACTCCTTGTAGAGATATTGAAGAATATCGGGTATGGCATTCAGTTTGCATAGGTGGAGGTAAAACTAGATAGGTGCTTCTGTGAACCCGAGCAGCAAAGATGCTAGCTTTCTCATAGGATAAAATTCCTTCAACTAATACATTATCTGTTTACCTTACGATTATAAGTGCTATTGCTACTATTATTGGCTATGGCTTTGCAAGCTTTAATCTTTGTTGGACACTGCAGCAAAAGGGTTTCTCGTAACCACATTTTCTGGTTATAAAATGTTATTGGATCTACAGTTTAACTTCTTTCAGTTGTTTTACACTATCGTCTTTGCTCCTCATATTATATAAGTCTGACACAACTGTTGTCTGATGCATTGTTTGGTTTCTGTCAGCCATTTGCTTTTGCCGTCTTTGCAGATCAGCATTCAGCACTTATGGCAATGTATGAACTGAATGTAAGGCCCTTTTCTGATATTTGAATAAATGATTGCTTCCTTCCTAGTCCAATGTCCATGGTTTGGATAATTGTGTAACCATATAGGGCCACTAGTTTACTTTTTGTCTTTTAGAAAAAAAGTACAAAGATCCTTTTAAATTTCAGTTTACCTAATGTGAGTAAACCTTACACAATTTGGAGTACTAGACATTATGTTTGGACATCATACTAAAGAAGGGTGAGCATTCTAATGAGGATTGCACATTACCTTATACAAAAGATGAACGCACGCTTAAGAGAAGAAAGATGACTATAGTTGTCTTTTGCTTCTTATAGTGGATGCTTAGTAATAATGTAGTGGCTGTGGACTATCCAAACTTGAAAGGAGAATGGCTTGAAGAATGTTGAAGATGGAATCTTTGCCCTGATCTCAAAATTGAATGAAGTTTAGCCTGAGAGGGATGGCATCTAATGTCATCTTATTTTGCACTTGACAAGTATTACTCTATGTTTTAGAGAGCTAGTTCTCTTCTGTTAGATGTGTAAGTTGACCTGCCTGAAACATGAAGAAAGCTGAAAAGAATGAGGGTTAGTGCATAGTTCTAATCCCTTTTTTGTGTCAGTTTTTTGCGTTGGACATATATAGGCACAGATTTCTTCCTTCATTCACAGTATTTGGTCATGAATTTGTTAATTAACAAATAGATTATGATGTTAGGAAGGAGTCTAATTGCTTTGCTTCCAAATGTGTCCAGGGAATGGTTTTTGACTTTGAGAAAGATTCCAAATTGTACATTGAGCTTGCTAAATCAAATTCAAAGTCTAAGAGGTTACGGCCAGGTCTGTTGCGAGTGAATTTCATTTGTTGGTTAAATTATTGGAATTAATTCTACTCAGGCCATCACAAATTTGTTTGATTTAAACCACAGATGATGGAAGGCCAGTATCAGAGAAGAGGATTAAAGGTTCTGCTGCTATTTCTAGAGACAGTGGTACTGGTATAATATCTGCCTCTATAGCATTTTACACTCCCTTCCTTTGAATTAGTACATGCATGAAAATCTGCAAGTTTGTAGGCCATCATGTCATCTACATACGAACCAATTTGCTTCTGAGATGTTCTTTTTGCCGGTCACATTTTAACTAATTTGATGTTATTTAAGGATGTAACTGCTCGTCAGTCACTGCAAAGCACTTTATCTAAATGCTCACTTTGCACATGTTTTGCACGCTTGGGCACTAGCAGGTTTTGGCAGCATTCACATGCCTGGAATGGGTAATTCTGCTTACAACACAATTGGTTATCCACCTACACAAAGGTCATCTGCACTACTTAAGCACACTTTTGTTACTCAATTGATTCCTTCTGACTAAGAATGCTCCAAGTACTTGTACTTCTAGCTGAAAGGTCGAGAGCCAGATAGAAATAGTTTCTCTATTCCCTGTTCCGTGAAGTTAGGGTATTGAATCTTAGTATTGTATGGATCTTGTGTATGATCTCTATTCCAAATTGTAATTTTCTTTTTGTTTGGTGATTCAGTCAGGGAAAGTTTGATGGTAGAGTTGGGAATCAAGCTGCCTCTAAAACGGTAAGGTGTCTGATACATGGTCCATCGTTTGTTCTTCTGAATGTGCCAGTCTAAATCACTGATAATTTGGTTGGTTGTTCTGTTAGTTCGATCTATAATTTCAGCATGTATTTGGAAAATATCTTTGCCGACTTTTAAGGCATTTTTCTTTGAAATCTAATTTTTTATGGCTCTGGTTAGTTACATATCAGGTGACAAGCATGTATTTGAAGTCCTAGTTGAATCCTATGATTGATAAACTAATCAACAAGTGTAAACTGGAGGTGTTGTACGATTAGTTAATCTGTATGGGCCTTTGATATGTAGGTTTTGCTCGTGCTTTTAAATGATTGTTGATGTCATGAAGTGCATCATAGTTATGATTCATAACATTAAGATCGAAGCACTTTCTACAGCTTTCCAATTTTTTTCTGGTAGAAGTGCAAACATTGCATCTTCTTCTAAAAATTCAGCATTTTAAATTGTCTCCCAGTCTTCGATTCCGAAGTTTCTTCTTTGGTAATGTAATGATCACTCATGACCTTAAATTTAACAGGCAGCTGATCCATGTCCAACACTCTTCATTGCTAATCTGGGCCAAAGTTGTACTGAGCAAGAACTGATTCAAGTATTTTCAAGGTTTTGATTAGATTGCTTTTTAGTTCTAACGACTAAAGCACTTGGTATACTGGATGGTTATGTGCTTTCTTGACATTTTCAGATTTCGGGGGTTTTTAAAGTTGAAGATGCAGAGTACGTATGGAGCTCCTGTTGCATTTGTCGACTTTCAGGTAAAGTTAACTCTCCTCTTCTGAAGTGGCAGTTGCTCAACTCATTTGCACACGTCTTCTGCACGTCCTTTATCTTTTTATCTTTTTTTTGTTGATAATGATAAGATGTCTTTTATTTTTTTAAGTGCATCTTCATCCCTAAACCAACACCATTTTCTTTCTATTCTTCTGATTCATTACCCCCTTTTTCTTTCTTCTCTTTTGATTCATTACCCCCTTTTTCATTGAGCTAAATCCTTAGTCAGTTAACAAGGATTTAGGAGTCGTTTGGTTTGAATTCAAGTTATGACGGGATTAGTTATGATGGGATAATTATGTTGAGAATATTTTTTATTGAGTGTTTGGTTTGTTGTATTCAAAATAATAGGCTTTGCATAAATTTAAACAACAATTTATTTGTTTTACAAAAGTACCCTTCATGAATGTGAAAAGTGATGCATAAAAAAGGTTTTAAAGGATATTTTTTGTCATTTTTATCCCGGGATTACTATACCACCCAAGGGGAGGGATAACTTATCCCGGTACTAATTATTAATCCCGGGATAAGTTATCCCGGACATGCCAACCAAACAACAAATTAAGTGACACTACAATTTAATCCCATGACTATTTGGTGTAATCCTTCACACCAAACGACCCCTTAGTACATGTTCTGTCCTGCAGTCTCAGCAATCTTAATTCGGAGGTTCATATGCATCTGCATTTTCAGTTAAGTAATTGTTTGATTGCAGAACATCCTACCCTAGATTTCACTGATCTGTTATCTTGATAAAGTTGTCTTTCCTTTACGAAGAAATTTAGTGCTTCCAACGTCCTATACAACCCTTACCCTGCCCAATAGAAGGGGTTGGTGGGGAAGGTGCCAATGGGTACAACTATTGGAAGCAGTAACTACTATCTTTATTGTGTTCGTCTTCTTTTGGTCTGCTACCACATCAAGGTCTAAATAATCTGCTGCATATCAAGTTCAAATACTCGAATAAATAGAGGTCGAATTTGAAATTAATATGTACAAGCCATATTTCCAGGACACTGCCAGCTCAACCGAGGCATTGAGTCATCTTCAAGGGACCATTCTACACTCTTCGTCTGGAGAGGGCATGCGACTGGAGTATCCTTTCATCAATTCTTTTGGTTTCTCTGAACCCCAACCCTTTATTCTCTTTGATTGTTTTCTTCTTTTGCATTATAATTTTCCTTACGACATATTTAGATATGCAAAATCACGGATGGGATTGCGAAGTAAGAAATCAAGGTAAATGCTTTGGGACTACAACAAAGATCCAGTCGAGCAACGCCATTAACAAATAACTATGTATCATTTGCTTGGTTATGTACTCGGAATGGATTAAATTATTACGTTCTTGTTCACATGTAATGTTTTCTTTAATTATTTATTTATTTATTTTCATCGTTTGGAGATCGATACTGCGAAATACACATGTTTCTTTTGTCAAAGTTTCTTCTTCAATATGTGAAAGTTACTTATTCTTTTCCCTTTGCTGCGGTCTGTCCCCTTTCTCTATTGTCTCATCAGCTAGGGAGCATTTGTCATTTGCACCTAACTATATTTATACTCTATAGTTTGAGTTGTCTCAAGAAGTTAATGTGATATCTTCTAGTAATAAAAAAAAGTTTATTAAATCAAAGTCCCCAGTACAGTTTATTCTGTGTCTTATTATTTTACATCACAGGAGTCAAAATATTACTCCAAATGCTCCTCACAAATATTTATAGTACAGTAGTTTTTTTCTAAATTGTCATGTCAGTCCTACTGCCCACGTGGTTTGGCTAGTAGTAGGTCAAAATATTAAATGTTAACATGAGCGGCGGTTATGAACACAAATAGCCTTCAATTATTATTTTTAAAATTTGATGAGCATTTTGAATAAGCAGTGAATTAGATTGCTAAAAATTAGGGCATTAGTAAATTAGATGCATGGAATATTTCATGATGGCCTCCTTCTGTAACTCTTCTTATGAAATATTCCTATTATTACTTCAATAATTTTCTTTTCTAGTTTGTTTAGCGAAGAATGGTCTATATCTTAATTTAATAACTCTTTAGTTTAAATATTTTATATTGCATGTTTAAGATAATAAAATTATACATATTTTTAATTATTATTTTTTCACTTAAATTTCGTACTCAATGGAAGTAAAATAAACATCTTATTTACTTGAGTTGGAAAAAATGTTTTAGCACTCATTGCGGTGACTAGTTTCAAAGGCACACGACCAAATACAACTAACCCATCAATCATTGCTCATGCATGTCCAAATCCTTTAGTATCAATACTAATCATCTTTTGACTTGTAGGCAAGAGGACAAAACATTAAAGTCAAATTGTCACACATAATACAATTCCCATTATACTTTTCTTTCAAATTGCCACACTAAAAGAGTAGTCACAGAGTTAGATTTTTGAAGCTTATACATTTAAATTTAATTTTTTTTGAAGCTTATACGTTCGAAATTAATAATTTGAATAGATTTCTTAAAAAATAAAAAAGTTCAACTAAAATTCCTGAATTTAATTAAATTCGTATCTAGAAGGCTAGCTTCGCCCCTTACTTTAGCTGTCAATTTTGGGTTGCTTTATTTGATAGCACTACCTACTTTATTACCTTTTAATCCGATTATTTCTTTCTGGGTAATTTATTGGCGAGTTTGACTCTTCTTCTTTTTTTCCAGGCCAAACTTTTCTTTGTTTAGTCAATGTTGCATGTGAGCGTGCTTGTATTGACCATTCTTTGTTTTACCTAATTAATCCCTAGTTAGTTGGATCATATGTTGTGTTGATCATATTATATAAACTGAGAGTGTCACTTTATGAAAATGCTCCAATTTTTGTTTGATTTAATTAGTACTCATTATTTTTGCTCGTGATTACACAGTATTTTTCAAATTTAATTATATGTATTTGCATAAAACTTTCGAACGGAAAAAACAATTCTAAGAAGACGTACTGGGGGCTGTTGCCTGTTGGAGCTAGATAATGAGACATTCACTTCAAAACAAAACAGTGTAATACAGATAAAATAAATCACCAAATCCTAGCAGAGGCGGTAATAAAGTATTAGATGATAGTTTTCAGTATTTAATTAAGTCCATCACTAGCCTTTTAGAACAATTCTGAAAAATACATATACAATTTGGAAGATAAAATCCGCTCATATTAATGAAAGGTAACAAATATGATGAAATTAATTGAGTTACGTGTAAACAGATACTCCGTTATTAGAAATACAGAGTAAATGGAAGTTGGATTATATCCCAAAGTTCCGTTCTCACTAGATTAGAGTTGGATTCATGACTTTAGCACGTGCAAATATCACTAATGTCATTATTGGTTTGTGACCATAGGTGTAAAATTTTTAATATATATTACTGTATATAAACATATTTTATTTTGAGTTTAATTATATATATATCATTAGTATAAATTATTTTTTATATTAACAGATTTTCAATCAATACCTCTACGCAAACATTTTATAAAATATATATTTATAACTTTAAAAATATATTATGATCGTGTAAAATTGTCTGATAGTATTAGTATATGTAAACTCTTTTATTTTAAGTGGACCGGGGGGCGGCGGGGGGGGGGGGGGTGAAGTGGGT